GGTCTCAAACTTGCAGTGATCCTCCTGCCTTAGCCTTACAAGTGCTGTTTTTTAGTTTTTTTCTTTTTTTAATATGGGACGCTTCATGAATTTGTGTGTCATCCTTGCAGCTTTTTTATTTATTTTATTTTTATTATTTTTTGGTACCAGGCATCAAACTCAGGACCTTGCGCTTTCCGGGAAGAGCTTTTTTATTTTTTACTTTGACACAAAAGGTCTCATTAAGATGCCCATTAAGGGCTCAAAATTACACTCATCATGCCTCAGCCTCCCAGTGTATGCAGATTACAGGTTTGTGCTACCATGCCCAGCTGGAATGTAGCTATTTATTCGTATCCTTTTTATACTTTGCTTCCCTTCATAGGAACTCGAGCTCCAGGGGCAGGGGCCATGTCCTGTCCTGTTAAGACCAGCGTAGGTAGAGCCTGATACACTGTAGATTCTTAAATACTTATTTAATCCATGAATGGATGAAGGGTCATTGCTGGGGAATTGTGTTCCCGGCCAACCATTAAAGGAAAATGACTATATTCCTGACCAGACCCCCACTGGTAGATACACTTTCTCAGAGACAGCCGTTAGATTCACCCTGAAAGCAAGACAGAGGCTAGGACTTTCCTTATGACTCGTTTCCCTGGCCAAGTTTTCTGCCACAGCTCCTGAGGAGCTGTGCAGGACCATGTGTCACTTTCCTGCAGGTTGAGCTTTGGTGCCTAGCTTAATCATGCCCAAGTCCTGTTGAGAGAATGAATGGGCTTTGGGTATCAGTCAGCTACTTGTGGCCACTACGAAGCTGATAATCAGAGTCAGCGTTCAAAACCAGGCATAATGGCACATCCCTATAATCCCAGCATTAGGAGGCTGAGGCAGGAAGATCCCTGCAAGTTCGAGGCCAGCCTAAGCTACATAATGAGTTTAAGGCGAGCCTGAACTACATAGTGAGACCTTGTCTCAAAGAAAACAAAACCAAAAAACCAAAGTCAGCATTCAGCATTAGAGCCCAGCTACGCAGGACAAACAGCTCGCCAGCACCAGGAGACTTTTGAGAAATGCAAATTCTTAGGCCCCCTGCAGACCTGTTGAATTAGAAACTGGGGGAGGGAGGAGTTCCCAGTAACCAGCTCTCCAAAGGATTCTAGTGTTTTCAGGTTTGTGGTCCTCTGGCTTAAGAATCTGATCCATTTTTCTCCCTCCTATTCCACAGTATTGCAAGAGGCTTTAACTGTCTTTTATTTCTTGCAATCTGCTTGCTCATCTTTCTTCTTTTCCTTTTTATTTATTTATTTATTTATTTGGTGGCATTAGAAATTGAACCAATCCCCATCTCATTTTTATTTTAAGATGGGGGTGGGGGCATCTCACTAAGTTGCCCAGGCTGGGCTCAATTTTGCTAACCTCCTGCCTCAGCCTCCCAGAGTGCTGGAATTATAAGCCTGTGGCACTAAACTCGGCTTATAGCTACATCTAGTCCGGTCCTGCCCATTAGGCAGAGAAAAGTTGCAACCTAATTTCCCAACTTGTAGCGCCAGGTTCTCAGCGCGGCCACGTTCTGCTAGCTCCCAGATTAGATTGTAAATTTCCCAAGGGCTGGTTGTGGTACAGGTTACCCATGGTCACGCCCTGGTCCCTCCAAGTGCTCCTCAAGAGCTTAGGAGCTACGGGCTTGTCCTCTACCCGCTGTGCACGTGCGCACCCCCCAGCGCAGCACGTGGCGACGGCCCCGCCCCCTCCCTCCCTGGCGGGTAAACTCCGGGCATCCATCAGTCTGTTAATTGTACTAATTAGAGATCGCAGAGGTGTTAATTGGAAAACCCTGGTATTGTGCCTGTTTGGGGAAGAAAACGTCAATAAAAATTAATTGATGAGTTGGCAGGGCGGGCGGCGCGGGTTCCAGGCGAGGCGCGGGGCGCAGTGGCCAATGTTACTGCTCAGATTAAGCGACTGTTAATTAAAAAGCCATGGTAATTAATACCCCTGACGCCATATGGGCCCGCGGAGAGGCACAAAAGATTTCTCCACGTGTGGGGCTCCCATCTTTTTTCCTCTTTCCCCAAGCACGCCCAGGAAGGTGGAACTGGCCCTTCCGGCTGTGAGAGAGGGACCGGGCCCCGGGCGCCTTCCGAGGGTCACTCATGCGTGCTCCGGCCTCAGGGAGGAGCGAGCACCCTGTGGCCGCAGAGTCCCCCAGAGCGGAAGAGGCGGCTGCGGCTTTGACCCAGCTTCCTTCCTTTCCACGTCGTCTGTGGGAGCCTGAGGGCCTGGCCAGGTCTCCGGGGTGCCCTGAGTCCCCCAAGGGGAACTCTGCCCACAGGAGTCCCCACCCCAAAATAGCTCTGCCCCCACGCGGTAGGAGAGGGAACTGGGCAGGGCGGGTGTGATGTCGAAAGGCTAGTCCTAGTCAGTCCTACAAAGAGCTCTGGCCCCGCTCCTGCGTAGAGACGGAAAGACCAGCTCCCGTGCGCCTGGAACGGAGCAGAGGTCTCACACGCTGCTCCTGCCTTTCCTTGTGCAGGTGGGGATGGGTGGAGAAGGCAGAGGGGCACTCGGGCCATGCACACTGGGTGGAGTGACTCGGGCCCTCAGTGGCTCCTGTCTGCATCCTGGGAGGATGGGAGGCTGTGCCCCGGAGCCCCAAGTCATCCCTGCCTGGTACCCTTAATCTGCTCACCCACAGTGCGGGAAACACCCAAGTCCCATTGCACGCCCTGTGGCAAGGTGACAGGAAGTGACAGGCTGCTGGCAGGCTCAGCCCTGCCAGGCAGGTGTCCCAGGGCAGAGGCAGGAGGAGTTGGAGGTGGCCAGGGAGTGGCTGCCAGGCCCGGTTTTCGGGCGGGGGGGGGGTGTTTGTGGGTGGGCAGGAGGTGCTGGGTGTGTGTCACCAGGGCCAGGGCGAGGGCCAGGCCCCGGGAAGGAGCAGAGCATGCCACATGGGAATTAATGCCATTCATACACCCTGCGGAAATGACTTTTCAAATGCATATAATCTCAAGCATGCAAATGAGAGGCTTGCTTCACCCTGTTTAATATGAATGATCGGCCCTTGAATAGCTATTATTACACGCCACATTGCAGCAATTATGTTGTTCCCTGGGTGTCGCTCTGTGCCCCCCCCATGGAAGATGGGGAAGAAAGGGACACCTCTGTGTGCCTCCTCCTTCCTTTTTTGCTCCTTTTCCCAAACTTCTTGTCTGATCTACAACTTTACCGTGTTTCTATAAGTATTGGAAGGGGATGTTACCTTACCCCCGGAAGTAGCCGCTGAATTTTCTTTGCTTTCTCCCGAGTGCACTTACACCCCAGGGCTCCGGCCTTTGTCCCCTGGGGCCCGGGAGTCCTCAGATCTCCAAGCAGCTACTCTGGGATTCGGGCAGACAGCTGTTCTCCACCCCCAGCAGGGCCAGGGCTGGGGAGAATGAGCAGAGTGACCGCCGTGCTCCCATCCTCCTGCCGTCCCGCAGCCCAGGTCAGGCGGTGGGGGGGGGGGGGCTGCTCCTGCAGGCAGCGGGGTGGGTGGCTTCGGGGGAGACGGCTGAGCCCTGTGCTGTGGCGGGTGGAGCATGGCGCCTGTACATCCATCATTTGAAGCCACCAGGCCCCAGGCTGACGCGGCCATTAAGGCCCCAGAGACCAAGTGCTCAATCTCTTCCGAACCGTCACCCACGTCCTGCGCTCACCTCCCCAGGACCCAGGGGTGGAGGAGCAGCGAAGGGCAGGGGAGGAAGCCCGGGAACACAGAAATTCAGCAGTGTGAGGCACCAGGAGGCCACCCAGACCCACTGGGACAGGGACATTAGCATCACCAACATCACCCCAGAACAGTGGCCCCCAAAGACCCTTAGCAGCGCTGGGTCCACTGCCCGTGCCCCCCCCCTTGCGCCATCCCCTCTGCTTCCAGCCAGGGGCCCAGTGGGGCAAGGAGGAGACCAGGTGGGGCCGCAGGGAGGGAGCCTGGCTTGTTCCTGCAGCCCCCTCCGCTGAGACCCCCAGAGGGAGGGCAGTGCCTGGCTCCCGCCCGCTCTGCTGCGTGCTCGCCTGGCTTTTTACGCTCAATCCATGCGCCATGTGGGCCAGGTCAGGGACCTGGGAGCCTGGGGCCTGCACCCTGGTCCTGGAGCTGGAGAGTGACGGCTGTATCACACTGCTCTTGCCGGGGGCCTCACGGGTGCTCTTTCAGTGCCACCCTAAAGCACCCTAGGAGCCTGGGAGTCAGTGCACCGAGGGACCAGGAAACTAGGGTCCAGGAGGCCCCGGGGATGCTGGGGGCAGGATTTGGACAGCTTTGCATAAGGAAGCCTCGCATCTTCACGCACAGCGGGGCGCTCGCCAGTGCCCTGGACCCTTGCGGTCATCCTGGCCTCTCTGGGAAGTTGGAAGGCCCTGTCTGGGCCCGGGGTTCAGGCTTCACTCAGTTCTACTTGTTTATTTCTTTGGTGCTGGGTTGGAACCCAGGGTGGGATGCTTAGCGCTCTGCGTCTGAGTCTCACTCCTCACCCTGTTCCGCCCCATCTGTTCACACCGGGCAGGCACTGCTGCCCACGACTCTGCCAGGAGGAGCCCAGGGCCTGTAGGCTGGGAGAGGACAGGATCACGTTTGGGCCAGGGGCAGGGCTGAGGGCTGCAGAGAGGCAGGTGGAGTGCACGCGCCCTCCTTGTCTGCCGCCCCGAGGGCCAGGCCACGGGCAGCCACGGCCCCTGTCGAGTCAGGTGGACTGAGACCTTCTGTGTCCTGGAGACCCGGCCCTGCCCCGAGGGAAGCCCCTGTCTAGCCGAGAACAGACACAGGGTCCTGCCGATGTCCCCTCCCATCCCCAGAGCACTCTGGCCAGGAGCCGGAGGCCAGACAGGGTCAGGAGGCTGAGGGTGTGGCAGGAGGGGAACTGCCCCTTACCCAGCCCTGGGGGGTGAGGACCCTGGGGGCCACACCCGCACGAGGGGTCCCAGGAAGTTGAGGGGGAGGAAGCACCGCAGGTCTCAGCCCCTCCTCTTGTCTCCTCCTCCAGGTCCCGCTGGAGCGACATGATGGTGGAATCTGCCTCGGAGACAATCAGGTCGGCTCCATCTGGGCAGAACGGCGTGGGCAGCCTCTCTGGGCAGGCGGATGGCGGTGGCGGGGCTGGGGCTGCAGGCACAGCCACAGGCGGCCCGGGCAGAGACAGCGGCGGTAGGGAGGTGGTGGCCGGCGCAGACAGCAACGGTGAGATGAGCCCCGCGGAGCTTCTACACTTCCAGCAGCAGCAGGTAGGCACGGGCATCTTCCTGCCTCAGCCCACAGCTCCGGATCAATCATTGCTGACCCCAGCCCTGAGCCTTCGGGCCCCCAGGGCTTCCCTCCCTCTGTGCCTGCCGAGAGGCCCTGAGCCTGGGGCAGTAAGAGAGAGATTAGCAGGCCTGGGGCCTTGAGTTCAGGAGCTTGGAGAAGGCCCAGAAATGTCATGAGGACAGACAGGCGCCTCTCCACCCTGGTGCTGGCTGGGAAAGGGTAGATTAACAGGGCCAAGGGTGCATGTGCCCAGGGGAGTCTTCACTTTGTCTCCAAAAACTTTGCCGCCCCCGGGTCAGCGTGGGTCCCGCTCCAAGCCGTGCAGCGAATCCACTTGATTAAATTTCCCGGCACCAAGGCAAAGGCCAGGTCTGGAGGCGAAGATGGTTTCATGCTCTGCTCCTAGAAATCATTGCTGGTGGCACTGACCCTTGGAGGCTCTGCCGGGACCCTGGGAAAGTGGGGTTCTGCCTGTCCCTCCCCACCCCCCACCCTACCCCAGCCTCAGGTGTCACCCACAGTGCAGTCCCAGCTACTCCTGAGGCTGAGGCAGGAGGATTGCCCAGAGTTTTAAGGCCAGCCTGGCGAACACAGTGAGAGACCCCTTCTGGGGGTGGGGGACAGAAACCAGGACCCTGCTTCTGGGCCCCCACCCATCACCCAGGCCCATAGCCTTTAACACTCCCCAGAGCCAGAGGTCGGACAGCTGCTCCCTGGGCTCTGAAGCAGGAATGGGAGGAACCTGGGTTAGCTCCCAGATGGCCCTCACCCCACAGCAGTGTGACCTTGGCCGAGCTGTGGGCCTCCCTGCACCCGGGCTGACTTGGGCCCGGAAGTGGCAGGGCTGTGAGGATCAGAGGCAGCCTGGGCGTGAGCCCCTCTCAGGCCGGCTTGCCCGTGTGGATGTGGACGTGCAAGGAATCCGGGCCTCTAACAGTCTCCTCCCCCAGCCCACCAGGAGCAGGAAGGCCTGTCTCCTCGGGAGGGAGTTTGGTGGCCTCTCCCAAACCTCCCTGGGTAGGTTCTCTGGGGAAGAGACCCAGAGGCTGTGCCCGCTGCTGGGGACAGGTCAGAGGGCTAAATCCTCACCTGTATCAAAATAACAGCAAAACGCACCCCGCCGGGAATCCCCGAGTCCACCCTGGGAACGGCCAGCACCCCCCACACCTCTGTGCAAGCAGCTCTGAAAAATTCCAAGTGTGGCAGGAGGTGGAGGGGAGAAGAGGCCCAGCCTGGAGAGTTTCTTTTCAGAAATGACTGAAAGCGAAGCAGGAACGCAGGTCTGGAGAAGCGGGCGATGTTCGGGCGGGGAGCAGCGGGACTGTCTGTACCGATCAGGTTTCTGGGTCCCACACTGTACACGAGCTGAGCCCCGCCATCCGCCCTGCACATTCCAGTTATTCCTGTTTGTTTTGGGGAATATCCCAAAGTCCTGGAAAATCCTATATCGGTTTCACAAATAAACTGGGGTGGGTGGGGACCTGGAGGCGGGCGCGGGGCTGTTTTATCCATTCGGGCTCTCTGTGGGCGCAGTGCCCGGGGCCAAGGAAAATATTTGAGACTTTAAAAAAAAAAAAAAAGTTTTGTTGGCTCCGAACTCTGAAAAGAACCCTGCAAAATTAAAATTACAAGATTTCCAATTAAAATGAAACAGTCGGGGGGGGGCACCCCTCCACCACCCCCGTAGATGTGAATGAGGCTTTAGGGGGGCTCCATGGTAACGCCTGTGGTCCCCCAGCAGCACGAGAGGTACACAGGGTGGGAGAGACGGAGGGCCTGGCCTTGATTTTCCCTCCCGCCCAGCCCCTGCCAGGAAGTCCTTCGAGAACAACTTCATTTACGCCGAGTCACGAAATCGCCTCTCCGTCCCGGAATCGGAGTTCTGATATTTTTATTTCCACTTCAAAGATGAGGCAACCAGAGGGAGGCACTGCGCTGGGCAGTTGCTGTAAAAATGTAAAAGTGACTGCTAGGCTTGGTGCCCCGGTTCCTAGTCCAGGGCCGGGCACACCCTCCCCGTCCCCACCACCCGCCCACCCGCCCTTCCAGCAGCCCAGTGCCCTGCGGGAAACAGGAGCTGAGCGAGTCCTCAGCCTGCGCCAGGGGCTGCATACTGGGTTGAGGAGGGAGGGCACTCCCTTCCTCCGAAGGTCTTTAGTGTGCAAGCGGTGGTAACGGGGAATGACTCCAGGGCCCTGCACTGAGCTGCGTGTCCCTGACTCCTATTCAAGCTTCATGTGGGGACACTCTTCCTCAGTTGCCCAGGCTGACCTCCAACTTAATGGTCTTCCTGCCTCAGCCTCCTCATATGCTGGAATAACAAGTTTGTGCCATCCCGTTCGGCCCTAAAGGGTTTCTTTCAAACAAAACAAAACAAAACAGCGGGTAAGGTGGTACCTACCTGTTGCCCTGGTACTTTGGGAGGCAGAGGCAGGATGATTATAAGTTTGTGCCCAGTGTGGGCATTTTATCAACTTAGTGAAACCCTGTCTCAAATGTTTAAAAAAAAATTTTTTTTTGAGACAGGGTCTCGAAATGTAGTTCAGTCTAGCCGGGAACTTACTGTGTAGCCCAGGATGGCCTCAAATTCACAGTGATCCTCCTGCCTCAGCTTCCCAAGTGCTGGGATTACAGGTGTGTACCACCACACCCTACTAAAAAAATTTTTTTAAAGGCCTGGGGGTGTATCTCAGTGCAAAGGTCTTAAGTTCAATTCTCAGTGCCAAAAACAAAAAACAAAACAAAACAAACAAACACAAAACAACCGGGCTTGATGACACAGTGCAGAACCTGAGGCGGGAGGATCACGGGTTTGAGGTCAGCCTGGGTCTCAGAACAATACAAAAGCAGCTCTGGTCCCTCTAGTGCTGCTGCAAACGCCAGAGGCAGGGGCCGAGATGTGGACTGTGGGTGACCCCAGGCCCTGTCCTCCTCCTCCTCCTGCTCTTGCTCCCAACCCCCGCCCCCTGGGTCTCCAGGCCAGTTCTTCCACGCCTGTCCGTCGGTCCCTGTCCCTCTGCTGTGGGTAAACAAGCACTGGAAATGCAGCCCTGGCCTTTGGAGTAGTGAGCTGACAGAAGGAGAGAGGGCGATCAGAAGTCAGGCCCGGCCGACTTGGAGAGGCAAACAGCATACCTGTCATGCGGTTTCCATGCGCCCAGCACGTCCGGGGCTTGTTCAAACAGAAGCCGGGGCGTTGGGCAGCCTGGCCAAGGCTGGTGCAAGAGAGGGTCCCGGCCCCTATGGGTGGGAGCACTCCCTCCAGGGCTGTCATCAGAGACGCCACCCCCCCAGAAGGGTACACATGCCAGGCCCAAGGCTGGAGCTGGTGACCTCCTGCTGCCCTCACAGAGAGCCCTAGACCAGCAGCGCACAGGGCCTATCATCCCTTCCCCCACCATGGCCGCAGCTCCTGGCCCTGTGTCCCTCTCTTCTGTATTTTCACCCCTTAGGATGGCATTTTTCTTCAGAAGTCGCCCTTTTGTCTTATCTTTCCTTTTTATTGTTGATTTTGGTTGTTGGTAGTATGTTTGTTTTGGGGGGTGTTTTGAGGACAGAGTCTCACTGAGTTGCCCATGCTGGCCTCGAACTTTTGATCCTCCTGCCTCAGCCTCCCCAGTGATGTGAGTGCAGGAGTAACCACCATGCCCAGCTCTTTAAGCGCTGTCTGAAACTGATCACCTATATAAAAAATGTCCCCAGTGTGTGTGGGGCTTCCCCAGGGATCCCACAAATACCCTCTGGGCTCTTTGATGACGAGGGCTGGAAGGGTCTGCGCCAGACTTGGGAGGCGGGGGGCCTAGGGCTGGGTGAGGAGAGCCGGACTTAGCGGGCGGGGGGCGGTGGCGCAGGCTTGGCTGAAAGGGGGCCTGGGCCTCCGCAGCCCGAACATTCCCATTGTGCACGGGTTGCAGGGGGGTGACAGGTCAGGGAGGGTCACGGAAGGGTTGCCTAGCGTCTAGGAACTCCCACCATAGTTACCATGACAACTGGGCCAAATCCCACCCCGTTCACATCCTGTGAGGAGACTCAAAAGGGTCGGGGGCTCCCTGCATTCATGGGCTTTTTAGCTCGGCCCCCTCTGAGAGATGGGAGGTGTCGGGCTTGGGGGAGGGGAGCAGAAGAATGGACGGGACTTCTGTCCTTCCCTCTCCCATCTGGCCGCGCTCTGCCCGGCCACTGCGGGGACCGGGTGGGAAGGGGGGTCAGCACCCCAATGCCTCTGCGCCCACTGCCAGCAGTTGATCTGTGTGTCCGGCCTGTTTCTCCCAGGGGCGCCCAGCCGCGTCCTGCTGTTCATGTGGGGGGTGCTTGGAGGCCCCACACCGGGCACAAGCTCAGCAGGCGTGGGGCGGAAATGTGCGGGGGCGTGGGTGATGTGCTGGGGACAGGGCTGTCACCACCCTTTTCTTGTACCCCCTCCGGGTACCCTCCAGTTCTCCCAGGAGGAAGCTGCACGCGGGGAGAGGAGAGGGCCCGGGGCCTGTGGGAGGGGTCTGCAGCCCACGTCCCGCAGGGAGCCTCCTTCGGGGGTGCCGGACTCCTGCTTCTCTCCCCTTTTATGGCCAAGTGCTTGTCGCTACTCACACGCGAGGGTGTCCTCGGGGTAGACACTGGGGCCGCTAGGGGACTGTTTCTTCCTCTGAGGGCAAGGGTCACAGTGTGAGGGGTGAGGTCGGGGTCCTGTCAGGGCCGGGCTGGGCCAGGAACCCCAAGGGTGAGCTGGTTTTTCTCTGGGGGCCCTGCAGGAGCGGCGAGGCAGGCAGGTGGGCGCTGGAGGAGACTGCCCCAAGTGCCCACATGAGGGTACACTGTGGTCAGGGGGTGGACAGCGGTGCCCCGGCCACCACCGCCACCTCCAGGGCGTGGGGCTCCCACCCACGTGGGACTGCCTGTGTCTGCAGTCCTGGTTTTCATTTTAATGGTTCTAATTTGAGAATGTGCCGATGTCATTTTTATGAGGTTGGTGTAAAAAAAATTTACAGCCTTTGCCAAAAAGCTTTTTTTTTTTTCCCAAGGAAAAAAAAGTGTAGAATCACTTCGGGGGGTTTTATGGTCTCTTCTCCCCCACCCTTTTTTCCCCCCTTCTCTGTGTAATTTCACTTTTATGTCCCTTCGCTAGAGGACAAAGCCTGGCTGGTCGAGAACTTGTGGCTCCCCAGTTGAGTTTGCTGTATGGCCGTGACCGTTGACCTCTGACTTCTGACCCCTTCCCCTGCCCCTCCTCCCTCCACCCCCTCATCCCTGAGGAGTTGCATTGTGCAGGATAGGTGTTGAATTCAAATCAAGGAGCACTTATTAGGCACCTGCTGACCTTGGGCGGGGTACCAAAGAATCTATGGTTTTCTGCTTAAAATCCTGCAGTGCTTATTCCTTGAGTGCAGAATGAAATAGAAAGGAAAAAAAAAAAAAAATCACTGCTCCATGGCCTCTGACCTCGGCAGACCTGGGAACTTCACGTCCGGCCACTCTGGATTTTTTTTCCCTTTTTCTACCTCAGGACCTTTGCACATCTCTTTGCTCTCCTTGATGACTCCACTGTACTGCTTTCTCCTCAGATTACTGCCCTGGCACACACACTGGGCAGCCTGGAGCACACATGGCTGCAGAGCCTGCCTGTGTCTCTGCTGGGAGGTGCTCCTGGGACTGGATACGGCCTCTCAGGTGGTGGGGATGGACAGGGTGGCCAGGAGGTCGGTGGGCTTGGGGATGCTGCTGAGGAGTCTCCCTTTCCCAGAAAGTCTTTCAGGCCGCTGCTGGGGTGAGGGTACCCCTCAGACTCCCTTTCTCCCCTCCTCCTCAATTGGCCCTGCCCCCCAGTGAGAACTCGCAGACAAAAAAGGTTTGGGGGTTTTTGTTTGGTTGGTTTTTTGGTGTCGGAATTCGAACTCGGGACCTTGCACTTGCCAGGCAGGGGCTTGTGCTGCTGAGCTGTATTCCCAGCTGTTGGGTTTTTTTGATTCTATCCCCCAGCACACACAGTGGTGATTTTTACCCTGGTACTAGGAGTTGAACCAGGGCTTCTCACTTATCTGTGTAGAGCTACATCCCTGTTCTTTTTCCATTTTAAAATGGGGTCTCGCTAAATGGCTAAGTCATCTAGGCTGGGCCAAAATTTGCCATCTTCCTGTCTCAGCCTCCCAGGATGCTGGGATTAGAGGCACGCACCACCACGCTGGCTCCCATGTTCTCCTTCATAAAGTGAGGTAGATCCATATAAATATAAATACATGTGTACATAACACTCAGATTTTTTGACCCAAAAGGGGTCGTGGTCAGTCATTTGAACATACCCAGTGACCCTTGCAGCTCACCAGGGCCGTGGGCCTCCACATCTTAGTCCCCTGATCAGTACAGGCCTGCAACCCAGACACACGCAGGGGAAGGCTGGGGCCAGGTGTCACAGCATACCTGCCATCCCCCTTCTCTGGGAGGCTGAGGCAGGAGGGTAATTTAGTAACTCGGCAAGACCCTGTCTCAACATAGTAAATAACAAGGGTCGGGGATGTAGCTCAATGCAAAGATCCGGGATTCAGTCAGCAGCGCCCCCTAACACACACACACACACACACACACACACGCACACGCACGCACGCACACACGTAGAGCGCCCAGCTGAGACCCAGACTCCTCCAGGCCTGCACCTGGCTTCCTTAAGAGTGAGGACCCCTCGCCGAATTGTGGGCAGCAGAAATGGTGGCGTGGCATGCAAGGCAGACTTCTGTTTCTCTTCAGAGTAGCGCCCCGTGGCCCACACAGTAACAGCTCCTGTCCCTCCTCCCCAGCGCTGCCCTGGACGCCATCCATCTGTCAGGAGCCATTTGTTCCTAATTGTGGAGATCCCGCTAATGACTGGACGGCGGGTGGGGCAGCGGAGCTCGGCTTCATTAAGGAGGCCGAGCTCCCGGGCTGAGGGGGAGCCGCTGGAAGGGACTCAGTTTACAGGGCCTTCTGGGTAGAGCCGGACGGCCGTAACAGCGACAGTAGTGACATTTGACAGGATCCAGGGGTGCTGGGTTGTGACCAGGGGTCTGTCCAGCTTTGCAGAGGAGGAGCTGGGGCCTAAGAGCTGACGTATTTACCTGTGGTCACTTAGCATGCAGCGGAGTTGGGACTTGAGTCCAGCTCTCTGGCCAGGGTTACACAGAGCAGACAGCCCCGGCTGCCCTCCAGGGGGGCACAACCTCATCCGAGCCGCAGAGCTGGGCGTCGGTTTCCAGTCCATGCTGTGGAGGGGAAAATGAGGTTTAAAAGCTGAGTGGCTTCTAGTTTCCACTCTGTTCTCTCTTCCTTCTCGCCACAAGCTGTCTTCAGGGTTTGTCCCTAATGGCTTGTCAACTTGGGGAAGTGGGCACCATGGCTTACGGGGTTTGGGGACCTGTGTGGGGGACCAGAACAGGCTGACCGACCAAGGCTCTGATTCTTAGCTCTGCCCAGCTCAGTGTTATGAAGCTGCAATTAAATGTTTGTTCACATGCTCTGAAAATCTATAAAGCATGCCGGGCATGGCTGCACACACCTGTAATCTCAGCACTCAGGAGGCTGAGGCAGGAGGATCTCGGAAAGTTTGAGGCCAGCCTGGGCTACACAGTGAGTTCAATGCCAGTCTGAACTATATAGCAAGACTCTGTCTCAAAAACAAAAACAAACAAACAAAAAGAAAACTGCAAAGCATAGTACAAATGCTTACTCCTGCTCAGGTCAGCCTGTGCCGCCTCCCACGCTCGGCCGGATGGAAGCAGATTTTGCGAGGAGCTGTGTTGGGTTTGCCTTGTTGGTGGTGAGTGGGGGCTCACAGTGACCTCTGAAAAGTCAGTGTTTTTGAAGGAGGCTCCAATCTGCTTGGCATCAGCCAAGAAGGTGTGCAAGGGTAGGGCTGCTCTTCAGCGCTTGAGGAGGCGGGCGGTCTTGTGATTTATCAAATCCCAGCACCAGCAGGCAGTGTGGACACTGACACCTGGTGCATTAGAGTGATGGATGGGCTCAGACTGGCTACGAGAGGCCTGAGGCCTACCTGGCCTCCAGGCGGCACACTGGGGGGGGCATCGTGGCCCACAGGGACCCCGGGCTCCCGGCACCGGGCTGGGGTGGCGTCCGGATCCCAGGATCCACCAGTGTCCCGGCCGGTGGCACACACCGCAGAGCATGAGCTGCGGTCCTGCGGGTCAGGGCTGGGCTGAGACGACCTTCCAGCTTCCAGGCCCCTCCTACCGCCGTCCCTCTGAGAAGCCCGCCGGGACCTCCCCAGCAGAGAGGACGCAGGCATCACCCTCCGTCCCTGCATCCCAGTACCTGCAGGGCAGTGTGCCCCAGGGAGGAGAGGGTTATGGGTAGTCAGGGCAGGCCCCAGGCAGGTAGCTCAGGAGGGCAGGAGGGGACTGGGGCCTGCAGAGGGCCTGTCACCATCTTCCCAGAATGAGATTGCAAGGCCCTGTCGTTTTCCCTGTAAATCTTGTAATTTCATGCTCCAGGGGACCGAAAAGTAAGAGAATACAGCCCCCTGGCTACCCAGGCCCCAGCCACCCCAGGACCTCGTCCCTTCTGCCTGCCAGGATCCAGGGTCCTTCATCTGCCCGTCCGCCTTGGGTGACATCCTCTCCCCACCTCCACCTCAGCCTCGCCCCTGGGCTCTCACCGAGCCCTGTGCTCCTCCTCGCTGTCCTCACCTTGGGGGGAATACCGAGTATTTGTCCTTAGACCTGGAAGAAGTCAGGAAAAGCCATGCCATGGAGGCACGGAGGCTAGGCTCCCTCCTGTGACCACCCGGCCACTCCCAGCCTCTGCCCAGCCCTGAGACTCGGAAAGGTTGGCTTCCTGCTTTCCCAAGTGACCCTTGAGGGCAGTAGCACCCACATCCCTCTGGGAGCCCAGGACCCATCCCTGCGTGGGGTCTGGGGGATGGGCAGGAGCTTTGGGTCTGCAGACCCCCCTGGAAGGGCTTCTCACTGAAAGCGTTTGAGGTGAGCTCATGTAAGGGCGGGGACAGACTCAGGAGGAGCTACAGGTGGCAGATGTCACTCAAGCTGTGTGAGTAGGGCTTTGGGGAGAAGAGGCAGTGTGACAAGGGGAGGTGCCGGGCACTGGGCCTTGAACACCTAGTTGTAGGGTCAAGACAGTGCGGAGAGACAGCGTCCTACCCAAGGTCACAGCTGGGAGGCTGTCGCCAGCGACCCCAGCCCGGGCCTGCCTCATGCCAGGCCATATGTCTGGGGCTCCCCGGGAGTCTTTGAGGACCCTAGAGGCAGAGGGGTGTTACAGTCTCACCGCCTGGCAACCCAGCTCACACGCCCAGTCCCACACCAATCCCACACACTTCCCAGTGCTAGGAGCCCCTGCCTCAGAGCCCCCAGCCCCCACCACAGCCCAGGAATCCCTGGAGATGGATTCAGATTAGCCTGCAGGTCCTGATCTACTTTTCCAATCTGGTTCTCCCAGGGCCAGGAGACCTTGAACCCACACTCCTTGAGCTTGGACAGCCAGGTGCTCCTCAGACCCTGAGGTCCCCGGTGGATCCTTCCTGCGTACTCCCCTCCCGCACACTGAACCCCCGGTGAAGCAGAAAGACCTAGGAGCGAGGCGTTCTGGGCTCAAATCCTCGCTGTTGATCCTGAACAAGTTACTAACCCAGAGACTTAGTTTATTCATCTGTAAAATCGGGCTGGTACATCCCTACCTCATAGCTGTTCAGGGAAGATGGAGATCTTGCCCCTCAAGTGCCTGACAGATGCTCAATTAAGAAATACTTTTTTGTGTGTGAGTATGATAGATTGAGGCCCAAGGCCTTTATGCTGAACTACATCGTCAACCCCTTTTTAAAAATGTTTTACTTTGAGTCAGGCTCCTGCTAAGTTGGCCTGGAATGCTCTTGGACCCTGAGCTCACCATTTGCTCCCCCCACAGAATCCAGAGTCTCACTGGCCCAAGGGTGGTTCTCCAGGTGGCAATCCCACAGTGACTCCTGCCTCGCTCCTCACCCTGCCTTCCACTGCACTCCTCTGTTACTGCTGAAACCCTCCTCGCCCAGGGCCAGGGCCGCCCGCCGCTGGCCACACTGACTCAGCTCGTGTCTTGCAGGCTCTCCAGGTGGCCCGCCAGTTCCTGCTGCAGCAGGCCTCGGGCCTGAGCTCCCCCGGGAACAATGACAGCAAGCAGACCGCCTCTGCCTCGGCCGTGCAGGTGAGGATGGCGGGGCTGAGGGGAGCTGGCCCACAGGGAGGTCGGGGACCCTGGGGAGAACCCCGTCTGCCGCTCCCAGTGTGCCCCCACCCCCAAGAGCGGGCGCCCGTCCAGCAGGAAGCAGGGTGCGGCTAGAAACTTCCACTTTCTCCGTCTCCCCATCTGCCAGGCCGAGCTCTGGCTCCGCCTCTGTCTCTGTCACTCAAACGCAGCGTCCGCCTGCAGCCCTGGCTCCTACCTGTGAGGGTCTCCCGCGGTCACCTCTCAGGTTTCTGGGCCTCGTCCCTGCGGGTCACTCTGTCATCGTCCCCCTGTTCCCAAGGCCTGGGAGAGGCGGCGGCCCCCAGGGCGGAGGGGTCCCCAGCTGTCCCCTCCCCCGCCTCCCCCACAAGTCTCTCCATCTCCTCTCACGTCTCTCCTGGTTTCCTGTCTCTGGGTGTCTCTAGGTCTCTTTTGTTTTCCTTTGCACAATCTGCCCTTTTTTCCGCCTCCTGCCTCCCCCCAGCTCCTGGCCCATCTGGCTGGCTGGGGGAGGGGGATCAGTGGGAGGTGGGGAGAAGCCGGGCCTTCTGTTTACCTTTTGTGTCACAAAGAACTTGGGAGAATTGCAGTCTGAGTCCTGCCTGGGTCACAACTGGGGCAGCGGCGCCCCCTCCCTCCCTCCCCTCCCCCCTCCTTGCCGGGCCGAGCCCTCCCCGCCCCCACCTCCAGCGGCAGGGGTGGCTGGGGACGGGGAGAGGATTAAGGGGGCTTTGAAAGGAAGTTTATCTAGCAGAGCTGATCCTGAGCTGGCCTGCTGTGGAGTCTGGGGGCTCCGGGGGCCGGGGAGGGGCGAGGGAAGTGGGGGGAGACCTGCACGGGGTTCTCCTGGGGAGATTCCAGCGCTCCGACAGAGTATCTGGGTTTTATAAAAAACACGCACATGTTTGGAAAGCGCTTTGAAACGGTTCAAGGTGCCGGGCAGCTGTGGGGCCCCAACTGTCAGTAGCCTTTGAGCAACCTGGAGCCCAGTGAGGCCCCAGAGGGGGAGCTAGCAAAGGGGCGTAGCCGGCAGCGGGAGGAGGAGGCCTGCCCAGGGCAGTCAGGACTGGGCCTCCGAGTCGGGGACCCCATGCTGCACAAACCGAGGTGCTAGGCTTCTGACTCTGGTGTCCCTGACCCACAGCCATGGAAAAGGAGCTCACAGAGCTTCAGTGCCCCGGGCAGGCATGAGAGAGGACCTCCCAGCTGGGCATGCGGAAAAGCCCCTCCGGAATGAGAGCACTCTCGAAGTTTGGGGTCAGAAAGACAGAAGTGGCCCTTGTCCCAGCGCCTCTCTCTCCTTACCTCCTGACCTCCCTGTCATCTGTCCATCCGGCAGCAGATTCGGAGCTCTGCCTGGCCACAGCTGACGTTGACTGGCAAGTTGACGGACAGCTTGCCGTGCGGCAGGCCCCCGGCCGGTCACAGTCAGGCCTCTGTTCTATCCTGCATCCCGTGGGACGGGTGCTAGGCTTCGGCCCATCTTGCAGATGCGGAAGCTGGGGTTGAGTGAGTCACCCTACAGATAAGGGGCAGAGCCCAGACCTGAACCCGAGCAAGTGGCTTAGGAATCCCTGTCAGGTCCACACGGCGGTCAGGCCTGCCCGTGCCCTGCGTCCCTGGAGCCTGGGGCTTGGCTGTTGGCCACTTTCTCTTCCTGCCTCGTGTCCCTTCCATGCTTCCCTTCCCCGAGAAGTTCTGGGTCTCCGAGGAGGTGGGGTCTCTGCCCAGGTTAGATCCAGAGCCTGGAAACAGCTTTGCCGAGAGCTCCAGGCCGTGGGGCAGAGGGGAGAGTGCAGAGCGAGGGCTGGGCTGGCCCGAGGTGGTGAAGGGGAGTCGGGAGGCTCGCGAGATGGTCTGCTGTGGCCACACCTGGGCCTGGGCAGGGCAGCTCGGTGGCAGAAGGCAGCGCAGGTAGCTGGGCCTGGCCCCGTGCGTGTGCCTGCTGCCCAGAAGTTCTTGATGTCCCGCCACTCTCTTGCCTGTTTTGAGTTTAGCGCAGACTCAGTCTGAGGCTCTCCTGGTCCCTGGACAGGGGATTAATGCAAAGCTGCAGCCTCATTGCCCCGTCTGCTCCCCACGCCCCCAGGGATCCCAGGCCCCGTACCTAAGGGCTGCAGTTTGAGTCCTGTGGTGCCACATCACATCCATGCCATCTTCAAACAAGCTTCCTCTGCGTCTGACACTGTCCCTGACCCTCCAGCCCAGCCCCTGCTGCTGTCCCCGTGGGGATCCCAGGCCTGGCTGGTACAGCCCAGCCTGCTGTGGATCCAGGCCACGGGGAGACCAGGGGAGTCACCTCGGCCCGCAGCACCCCAGGGGGCGTGGTGGGGGGATGATGGCCTCAGCCACCTTGGACAAGTGCACGTGGGGCGGGGCAGGGAGCCCAGGGCCACAGAGGCCACCCACGGTCACCCCCACCCTCTTGCCTCCAGGTAGGGGAGACCGTGTCCTTCCCTGCGGGCCGCTGTCCGTGACTCGGGTGTCAGCTCCGTCTCCTGCTGTGGGACGTGCTGCCCTGCTAACCCAGCTCTGGGGGGAGAACGCGTGCCCGTGCCCTGCGCCCGAGTGGCCCTGGCCATGCTGTGCCCTTCGTCCCCGTCCGCCTCTTGTGCTTTTGGGGGTGAGGCGGGGATGTGGACCCCTGGGATGAGACCCTCGAGTGCCCAGCACCTGCTCAATCTCCGGCCTCCTCCAGTGTGTGTGCATGGGGAGCCGAGAGGGCCGGTGTCCCTCAGCCCGGTCAGCAGACGGGGAAACTGAGGCCCGGTGATTACCAAGACACCCCCTGGCCACCAGTACGGTGATGTCCGCCTTGCTTGGTGCTCCTACAGGAGGAGGGCGGGAAGGGCAGTTAGGCTCAGCGCTGGGGGCTCCCAGCCAGGGGTTTTGCTAACCCAGGTCCCCTGAGCGGCCACCCCAGCTGCCGACACAGGAGCTGGCTGTGTTGTGTCCCATTGCCACGGGCCTTGGGGGTCCCTGGGAGCCTTCACTCGCATGGCATGTCCACGCCTAGGAAGCTCAGTCACCACCCCTCCTGGGGACGCTGGCACGGAGACCGCTGGCAAGCAGAAGGAGAGCCAGAAGCGGGGCTCAGCCACCAGTGCCGGGGTGCCAGCAGACCCGGCGCTCTGGGACTTCCCCGCATCCCTGCTCCTCCCTGCTTCCGCCTATCCCGGGGATTTCCTAATCCAAGGCTCACAGCCCTCCACGCTGAGTCCTGCCCCACGGGTAGGGCTGCGGCTGGGACGAGGGGAGGGACAAGTCCCTGCAGGACACCTCTCCCCACCCAGGGCCTGCAGCGGGGCTCTGCTTGCTGGGAAGGCCACAGCTGTGTCAGCTAACAGCGCCTAAGGTGCACCCAGCCCTCTGTGGAGCGGAGGGAGAGACTTGGGCCCCACTGAGCACCCTTCCTGCTAAGAGACGGCTGGGCCCTGCCTGCTCAGGACTGCACAGGCCTGGGGGTGCTGGGAAGGTGGGGCTGGGAAAGACGATGCCACTGCTTTTCACTGGGCCTTTTCCTGGTAGCTGGACCCTCTGGGCATTCCAGAGAGGCCCAGCCCTGTAGGAGACAGGGAGCCACTCTGCTTTGAGAATCCAGAATGCTCCGGTTGGTCCAACACTGTACTTTATGTTGAGCAATGTGACAGCCCAGAGAGGGCAAGCGACTTGGTCAAGGTTGCACAGCAAGCTGTATGCAGAGCTAGGAGAAGCCTGCTGTCCTAACTCCCTGCCCACTGTCCCTCCTACCCCACTGAAGACACAGCAACACTTCTGCACACTCATCAGGACAGTGCCTGCAGGACCCCTGGGCCTCCGGTCTGGGCCACTGTGTGCGCCAGACCCCGGTGGGGGACGGTGTGACTTGCGTGTGAGCGGGGCCAGACTCCAGTCCCCACGCCAGGTGGGCCACTTCTCAGCCCTGCCCGTCGCCGCGGATGCCTTCAGCCGGCAGTCTCTGGCCGAGCGAGAGCTGGGAATGGCCTGAAGCTCTGCCCCTCCTGGTTACTGGGGGAGACCCGTCCGTTCCCAGGTTCCAGTCCCTGTCACTCGGGTCTGATTTCCGCCCTGCCAGTACTGCATGCCAGTAATAGCCAACCTTATAAGCACTTGCTGCTGGCGGCTCTGTCCCGGAGTCACCTTCCCAAGCCTCGCTGCGCCTTACGGGGCAGGCACCATTGCTGTTCCCATGAACCGATTCATTTGGGTCTCATTCTCTAGTCCAGGCAGGCCTGAAACTCACTATGAAGTCCAGGCTGGCCTCAAACTTGGGGCAGTCCTCCTGCCTCAGCCTCCTGCGTGCTGGGATTGCAAATGTGCACCACGATGCCCGGCTGCTGTTCTCGTTTACAGACAAGAAAAACAGAATAGGGATCTGTCCCTTGTCTAAAAAGACACAGCCAGGAGGCAGCAGTGCCCTGGCAGCCCCACTCAGAGCCGCTCGATCATACTGTGGCGGGCCCAGGGCACTGCCCCTCGCTAACGGGGCAAACCCCGCAGGTGCCAGTGTCCGTGGCCATGATGTCACCGCAGATGCTCACCCCGCAGCAGATGCAGCAGATCCTGTCGCCGTCCCAGCTGCAGGCCCTGCTCCAGCAGCAGCAGGCTCTCATGCTGCAGCAGGTGGGTCTGGCCTCCGGCGGTGGTGTCCCCACCTCCCTCCCTGTTTACCACAGGGCTGTGGCAGAAACCAGTGCAACGGCTCAGGCCCGGCCGATCTGCATTCCTGCAGGGCTGCTGGGAGGCCAAAGGTCCTGCTCGGCAGCCCCCAGTCCCCATATTCCCCTGCGCTGGCCCCACTTCCATCTCTGGAACTCCAGGGTAGGGCAAAGTACTGGGACACCTGACCCCATCCCTGGGCCGTGCGTAGGAGCTCCTCCAAAGGCAGGAGGGTCAGGGCTGTGGGGCGTGCTCCCCTCCTCGCTACCCACCTCCAGGTCCTGCTCAGGCTGGTGGGCGCCCCAGCTGGACACAGCTGGAGCTGGAGGCGGCCACCCCTGCCTGCTAACTGTCCCCCACCTTATCCCCCCACAGCTTCAGGAGTATTACAAGAAACAACAAGAACAGCTGCACCTGCAGCTCCTCACCCAGCAGCAGGCTGGGAAACAGCAGCCCACAGAGGTAAGAGGCTGCAGCGGCCTGGCCCGAGGCACCGGATGTCCCCTGGGACCCCACCCCAACACCTGCAGCGCCAGCCTTCCCCTGGCCAGGGGCCATCAGCCTGGAAGTGCTGGGGAGAGAACTGCCCCATGGGAACAGGAAAACACAGGGCAGAGTTGGGCGCCAGGGCCAAGGGGGCTGTGGAGGAGTCCTTCCCTCCTCGCCCCAGTGGTGGCGTCTCAACCCTGTGCCCATCACTGGCACGGGGATGTCGGGTCCAGCTGCCTCACGGTTGTGCCGTCCCCCTGCCTCTGTGGCTGTCAGGGACGCAGCCCCTCAGCCGTCCATCCCCAGCGTGCCCCGCCCCCACACCACAGCCGTGTGCCTCCCTCCTGCTGGCTAAACCAAAGTCCCTGTTCTAAGTGACCTCTTCCAGGGGCCGCCCTGAGCACCTCCGGGCGTTCTAACCCAGCCCTCAGTCCTCTGGTCTCTGCACTGAGTAGCCAGCAGCCCCGCCCCCACCACCTCCTGCAGGCGGGGGGCACTGCCTCCCCCATTCCGTGGACAGGCTTGGTTCCCCGCTCAGAGCCCTGCTGACAGCCGGCTTGTCAGTGCCTGTGTGAGGAGCTGAGGGGCAGGCGGGAGGCGAGGCAGGGTGCCGCCGAGCAGCCTGCAGTCCCCCTTCCCTGCCCTGCTCCCGTCCCACCCATTGGTTCTCTGTCTAGAAAGCAGCGTGCAGGATCTGGGAGGAGGGAGAAAGCGCCTCCTCCCCCGGGGCAGCGGGGCCCCCAGGCATGTGGGAAAGGTACCCTGTAGGGGGGTGGCCCCCAGCTCTGACAGGCTCATCGATCACGGTGACGAGAGGCCCCCCAAGCGCACAGCTTCCTTGCGGGAGCCGGCGCGGCGGAGGGGGGAGGGCTGGCGTCGTGCTGCGCGTCTGGGTCTGGCTGCGTGTGTTTGTACGCGCGCGCGTGCGTGCATGCGTGTGTTTACTGCGAGGAGGCATGCAGCCCTATGGAAGCTGGGCCGGGAGCAGAGAGGCTGCAGCCGCGGACGCCGCCACGACAGCTCCCGGCGCTGACAGGGCCTGGGAGGGGGTGGCTGCGGGGTGGGGGCCAGATGGCACGCCTGAGGCCGACGGCGCCCCTCTCTGCCCGCCCCCTCGGGCCACCCCACAGGCTCTGGGGAACAAGCAGCTGGCCTTCCAGCAGCAGCTCCTGCAGATGCAACAATTGCAGCAGCAGCACCTGCTCAGCCTGCAGCGGCAGGGGCTGGTCAGCCTGCAGCCCAGCCAGGCCTCGGGGCCCCTGCAGACCCTCCCCCAAGGTGAGCTCCGCCCCACCGTGTTCCCTATGCCCCGAGGCCCGGGAGGCGAGAGACAGGCCTCGCAGACCCTCAGCCCAGCCCAGCCAGCCTCCCGTCTTCCCCTAGCGGCCGTGTGCCCCACGGACCTGCCCCAGCTGTGGAAGGGTGAGGGTGCCCCCGGGCAGCCTGCTGAGGACAGCGTCAAGCAGGAGGGGCTGGACCTCACCGGCACGGCCGCCACCGCTACCTCGTTCGCCGCCCCCCCGAAGGTCTCCCCCCCACTGTCCCACCACCCCCTGCCCAACGGACAGCCCACTGTGCACACAGCTCGCAGAGACAGGTACAGTGGCGGGCGGGCGGGCCGTCGTGGCGGGCTTGGAAGCAGCAGAAACGTGCGGGGCTGACCCGGATGCCTGTGCATGGCACCGTGGCAGAGCGGCAGGGGGGGCTCTGGGCTGCAGCCATATAGCGTGGTGCTAGGCCTCGGGAAGCCAGAAGCAGCAAAGCCGCCAGGCTGGGCCTGGGCTGCTGGGGCCCTCGGAGGTCTCTGACCAATCCCTGCCTTCCCAGCTCCTCCCATGAGGAGACCCCCGGCTCCCACCCCCTGTATGGACATGGAGAGTGCAAGTGGCCGGGCTGCGAGACCCTGTGTGAAGACCTGGGCCAGTTCATCAAGTAGGTGCCACTCCCTGCCCCCAGCTCACCCTTTCTGTGGCCTGTGGTCACCAGCAGTCCTGGCTCCTTGCTCCAGGGAGACTGAGTTGCACCTCTGCCCCCTCAGCACCCTGGTCACCCCTACCCCACATTCCCAGGCTTGCACCCCACTGCCCCCTTTCAGCATGAGGAGGGGTGTGAGGCACAGCATGTCCTCCGCAGCCTGGAGTGTGACAGCCTGAGCCAGTGGACAGGCAGGACAGGAGGCGGCTGGGCGGCTGGCAGCAGGCGGCCGGCTGCCACCGCCATACCAGGCTCTGTCACTGACTGATTAACTCCGCTGTCTCCCAGACCCGGGCAGCATCAGGGGTCAAACAAATTGTTTTCACGCTTCGTCAGAGGTTTACTTAATTAGTTCATTTGCAATTAGATCTCTCCGTAGAAGGGGTTTTAGCAAAGACATCAAAGGAGGCTGCCGAGAGGAGGTGCCTTCCCTTGCCCCCTTTCCACCCCTTTCTCCCCTTTGCATCTCTGGTCTGTCTGCTTCGCAGGCACCTCAACACAGAGCACGCCCTGGATGACCGCAGCACGGCGCAGTGCCGGGTGCAGATGCAGGTGGTCCAGCAGCTGGAGATTCAGGTGCACGGGGCAGGGATGGGCTGCCCCGTGGGAGGGTCCTGATGACCCTGTGGTAGGTGAGGAAGGCTGGGCCTCTGAGGGGTGCACCCGTGTTGGGGCATCTCTGCTGGTAGCCGCAGAAGAGCCTCATGCTACTGAAAAACAAAAATAAACCAGGCGTGGTGGCACAGGCCTGTCACCCCAGCCCGCTGGAAGGCTGAGGCAGGGGCATCAGAAGTCACAGACCAGGGCTGGGGATATAGCTCAGTGGCATAAGCGCCTGCCTGGCAAGTGCAAGGTCGTCAGTTCGATCCCCGGTACCGCAAAAAAAGAAAAAGTCACAGACCAACTATCATGGCTTTTCCTCATGACAGCCTGCCCTGCTTTCTCCAGGGTGTTCTTTTATCTTCCTTTTTCCTCTTTTACTCAACCAAGCTCACTCTGCAGAGCCAGTTTCTCTGCAGCTGTTCACTTTTACTAATAAATGTAGCCACTGCTAAAAAAAAAAAAAATAGGAAGGAAGCGAGCGAGCGAGAGAGCCGGGCCTGATGGCACATGCCTGTAATCCCAGCACTCAGGAAGCTGAGGCAGGAGGATCGTTGCAAGTTTGAGACCAGCCTGGGCTACAAAGTGAGCTCAAGGCCAGCCTGAACTGCATAGCAAGACCCTGTCTCAAAAAAAAAAAAAAAAAAAGAAAAGAAAAGTGAGAAAGAAAGAAGGAAGGAAGGAAAAATTATAGACCAACCTGGACCACTTAGCCACTTAGAAAGACCCTGTCTCAAAAGAAAAAAATAAAGTTCTGGGGATGGAGCTCAGTCCGAGGGCCCTGGGTTCAATCCCCAGCAATGCAAAAGCAAAAACAAGCCAAAACACATGGGCAGGTAGCACTTGGAGTGCCTGCCTTTACCTGAATAGCTCGAGGAGGCCTCTCAGTGCCCCTGGGAGCCAGGTGCTGCCACAGCCCCGCTTTACGGAGGCACAGCCTGCCCCGGTGACCTGCTGGCGGCCACTCAGCTGGCAAGTGGCAGAGCTGGGATCAGAAGCGTGCAGAGCTTTGGAGGCGACTCAGGCGAGTCCATCCCTCAGCCAGTCGATATTTGCCCATTTCCCTCGGGCTCCTCGCAGCGTGCCCTGCACGCAGGGGTGGTCACGAAAGATCCCTTGAGTTGGTGAGTGGACGCGCGACTCATCATCCCCCGGGGCCAGCCCTCACCAGTGCCCCCGGGGTAGTCACAGCCCCTGATCCTGCGTGTAGGGGTGGTTGGGGGTGAGCTCCAGTGAGGGCAGCAAGGAGAGGGGACCTGGCGGGGCTGGGGGCTCGTGGGGAGTCTGGGGGAGGGCAGCCTGCCAAGCCTGATAGAGCCCCTGCCCAGCTCATCTCCGCCCGCCCCTGCAGCTGGCCAAGGAGAGTGAGCGGCTGCAGGCCATGATGGCCCACCTGCACATGCGGCCCTCGGAGCCCAAGCCCTTCAGCCAGCCTGTGAGTGACACCCAGCCCTGCCGCCTCTCCCCCGCCGCCGGGCCCTGGGGTCCCGAGGTGCCGGCCCCAGCACCTCCGCCATGGCTCACAGCGGAACCCGGGCCCGGCCCCTGCTCCTTCCCCAAGGTGACCGTCTCTGCAGACCCGTTTCCCGATGGCCTTGTGCACCCCCCGACCTCGGCCGCTGCCCCTGTCACCCCCCTGCGGCCCCCTGGCCTGGGCTCTGCGTCGCTGCACGGTGGGGGCCCTGCCCGACGGAGAAGCAGTGACAAATTCTGCTCCCCCATCTCCTCAGGTGAGGTGGGGCCGGGGCCACCACAGAGGCCTTGTCCCAGGTCACGCCCCAGGCCGCCTCACCCGCCACCCCTCCCCACAGAGCTGGCCCAGAACCACGAGTTCTACAAGAACGCAGACGTCCGGCCCCCTTTCACCTACGCCTCCCTCATCCGCCAGGTGAGCTGGGGGACACAGCTGCTCGGTGCCCTCTCCTGGAAGGTGACATCCCTTGACTTCGCCCTTCTTGGTGTGCTGTGCCCCCGGACTGTGACCTGGTGGGCCTGCCACTCACAGGGGTGTGCCGGGGCTCCCGCTCGCCGTTGCACTCATACACGTGTGCCCCTTGCCTGTATGTACGCCTTGACCGGCAACCGAGCACACGGTCCTCCCTGCGCCCCACGCCCATCTGCTCCCTGGTGCCCTTAATCCTCCCCTCCTAATCCTGTTGAGGACCCCCTATCCACCCACCCCTTATCCACGAATTGCTGTGGGGGGCAGCAGCGGTCTCCTCTGCTCGTGGGTGAGGTGGGGCCTGGTGGAGACCAAGTCCACAGGTGGGGACCCTGGGAGGCCCAGCCTGAGGGTCCCTTTACCCCGTCTTCACCCCAGGCCATCCTGGAAACCCCCGACCGGCAGCTGACCCTGAATGAGATCTACAATTGGTTCACCAGGATGTTCGCCTACTTTCGCAGGAACACCGCCACCTGGAAGGTGAGCCGCGTGTGCCCAGGGCCTGCACACCCTGGGCACCTCCACCTCCCCTGGAGGCCAGGGCTGCCTGACCGTCAGTCAGTCCCCATTGGGCCCAGCTCCCGGAGTGCGGGGGGACAGGCGTGTGCCCCATGCTGGCCCCGTAATTGCCTTTCGTCACTCCTGCGTGCAGCCCTGTGCTGCTCCTGCAGGGGAAGAGATCTTCTTTCTGGGGTGCTCTCCCATGCGCCTCAAAGGCTCCCGCTCCCCGAGGCAGGGCCTCAGGAGGCGGCCAGGCCCACGCTTGGTAGGAAGGCCTGGGCTCAAGGCCTGTGAGGAGGCGCGTGGGCTTGGACACGAGTGCCCTGAAGCCATGGCCCACGTGCTGGGGTACAAGGCACTCACGTCTCCCCAGGGGTAGGAAGATAATTGTCTCGTGCAATTAGTCATTTCACAGCGTTTTCCTGGGGGACCAAAGGAAGGGGAGAGGGGGGACCCTCGAAAAATAGGACATGGAGATGTGGGCCAGGGCACTGAGCCGTTTATTTTTCCATAGCCTGTCTGTGTGTGTGTGTGTGTGTGTGTGTGTGTGTGTGTGTGTGTGTGTGTATGCCACACTCTCCTGGGGTGGGAAGGTGGCATCTAAACCATGCCAGGCCACGAGGGAGGAGGAGGAAGGAGGCTGGTCCTGTAGGGGAGGTGGATCCCTGGGTCTTGAGTCCCCCTGCTGGCCAGAGTAGAAACTGCAGCTAGACAGGCCCCGCCCCCGGTGCCACCTGGTTTCAACAAGTGTCCCCGAGGCCTGCCACCCTGGACTGCCAGGAACTTCCGGGACTGGCCTTCTCCGCCCTGGGTGTGCTCTGGCCGCCCGGGAGGGACTGCCCATGACCTCCACGTTGCTGAGCCTAACTCCCAGCACCTGGAGACAGGCTGTGAGGCCGAGGCGCCTGCCATGTTTGGCTGTGAGTGATGTCATTTCCTGCCAACCACAATCCTGCCCTCCTCCCGAGCCAGCATGGCCTTCGTGGGGCCGCCTGCGCCGGTCTGCAGCCTCCAGGCCAGGCCAGATACCAGGTGTTAGAAACGGGGAGTCCAATACAGATGTAGGGGATCGTTGCAATGACTGTCCGCTCTTCGCTCTAATATTGTGCGTTTATCCTTGGCCCCAGGGGTAGCAGCGGGGAGCCCCGTTTCCGTGAGATAGCCTCCGCTTGGAGGCTGAGCACCCGCCCACCTGCCCTGCGTTCCTCCTGTCGCCCCTGCACCCCCACTGCAGTGTCCTGTTCCTTCTTTCTCACAGTGAGAAGCCCCTGGCGCTGGCGGCCTCTACCCATTTATCTTCCTCCTCTTCCGCTAAATTATGTTGGCTGCCTTCTTTCTCGTTTCCTTCGCCCCTTCTGGGCCCCACCCTGAGATGCTCTGTCCTTTGGACCGAGGTTTGGTGTGGGCCAGGCCAGCTGCTGTTCAGGGGGGACAGAGTGGCCATCTGCCGAGCTGCAGGTCCTCACTGGCCTGCTCGCGTCCGTCCCCTCCCTGGGCCCGTCCTTTGTTTACGCAGGCCCCGTCAGACCCCTCAAATTGCCGGTAATGTTTCAGCGTAACGAATTAGTCTCTCATCACGAATCAGGCTTCGAAATGAGGGAGAAAAGCCCCGGTGAGGCCATCCTCGGAAATTGGGGTCATTCTCATTTGCAAAGCGGAGGATCGGAGCCCCGTAATGCGGGCAAATTTATTCCGAGGCAGGAGCCCCGGCGTGATTAGGCCCTTTGTAATTATCGCTCCGAGAGATTCCACTCCAGCCGCCCGCCTCCCTCGTGGATTAGCAGGCGAGTCGGAAAAATACACAGGATTTAATTAGAGGCAAATTAAAATTGGTAATGAAATCGGGCCAGTTGCAAGTGGCAAGAGTTGGAAGGCAGAGAGGGAGAGGGGGTCCCCAGGGGCACAGGCCGCCCGCCCTGCCTGCTTCCTTCCCCGTTTAGAAATGTAAAGAGGAGACAAGGATCGGGCAGGCCGAGGGAGGACAGGTAACGGGGACAGGGACACACGCGGGCGGGCAGGGAACAGAAAAACAGAGCAGAGTAAAGGGCAGGACAGAGGGACATGAAAAGGGTCATGGGTGGGTGAAGGCTATCACCCGTGTGTCCTGCAAACCAGGTGACCCCAGCTCCTGAGTTACCCTGCCAGGTGGAGGAGAGAGTGACAAGGTGACTTAGCCTCCTGCCTGCCTGCCTTACGGCTGTACCGTTACATCCCCTTCCACGGTTGATTTCCACGAGTGTGTGTTAGAGCCCTGCTGCATCCCTCGTGCCTCTGTGCAGAAGCCATCTGCTCCGGGCCTAGGTTCCCAGGGGCCGGGGAAGGAGCAGTGAGGGTACTTTATTTGTCCCCAGCACTCAAGGCAGCTGGGGGACATTCTGTGTGCGCCCAAGATAAGGTACCCGGGCCCAGATCCAACCTCTTGCTGCCCAGAGTCCAGGAGGAAGCTCCCTGCATCTTTGACCAGAGCCAGCAGGAAGCGTGTGATCCCTACCCAGGGCTACCATTATATGGGGAGACCAGCAGGGAAGGGGCCCTGGCTCCCTGCCGACTCTGGCCTGGGGACATGGGACAGGACGAGGGCACTGCCGTGCCTGTTCCTTGAGCCCCTCATTCCGCACCCCCAGAATGCCGTGCGCCACAACCTCAGCCTGCACAAGTGCTTCGTGCGTGTGGAGAACGTCAAGGGCGCGGTGTGGACGGTGGACGAGCGGGAGTATCAGAAGCGCAGGCCGCCAAAGATGACGGGGTACGTGGCACTGCGCCTGGCCCTGGACCCGTGCTCTCCTGCTTCCTGATAGGAGGAGCAGCCCCCTAAGGTCCCTGGGCCCCCAATTCATGTCCAGGGGAGCAGGCCAGAGAGGGCAAGGGGAAGGGCAGGGCACAGCATGGCAGGGCAGGGGTCAGGGAATGGAGGACAAGCTCTGGGTGCCAGGCTCCATGCCAACTCAGTTCAGTTTGCACCTCTGCTTATGATGGGGTACGTGGCACTGCGCCTGGCCCTGGACCCGTGCTCTCCTGCTTCCTGATAGGAGGAGCAGCCCCCTAAGGTCCCTGGGCCCCCAATTCATGTCCAGGGGAGCAGGCCAGAGAGGGCAAGGGGAAGGGCAGGGCACAGCATGGCAGGGCAGGGGTCAGGGAATGGAAGACAAGCTCTGGGTGCCAGGCTCCATGCCAACTCAGTTCAGTTTGCACCTCTGCTTTTCCCCAGCTACATGGCCTCAGGTCTGGTCCTTGTCCTCCTCTATGAGAGGCTCTGGCCAGGGACCATCCCTGAGGTAGAGACAACCCTGGGCTGTGGCTCTCCCTAACACCTTTGGCTACAGAAAAGCCTTTAGTCTGGGACACCTGGGGACAGGCTGGCTGAGCTCAGGGCTAATCACATGTCCCCCAATTCAGGGTGGCATGAAAGCACAGGCCTGGCAGACGTGGAGCTATCCAGGCTAGAGCTTGGGCTTTGCCAAACAACATATAACCCAGACCAGAGAGGGAAGAGCCTGGGGTGGCCTGGTGTGCAGATGGACGTGGGAGGGGCCCCGCAGGGGCTGAACGGGCCTGCTGCACACAGGTGGCCGGCCCTGCCCTGTCATCTAGGATGGCAAAGGGGATGGGGCCTGGTTCCACACAGGCCCCTGCCGGGGCTCAGGAGGAAGTAAGTGGTGAACCAACCCCTGCTTCTGCCCCCAGGAGCCCCACCCTGGTGAAGAACATGATCTCGGGTCTCAGTTATGGAGCACTTAACGCCAGCTACCAGGTGACCGGTGACCCAAGCCCATCCTGCCCGCACCCAGGCCTGCCCACCTCAGGCTGGCCTCCACCTGGGTTTCACAGCTGGCTTGTGGCTTGTGGGGTGGGCAGGGAGCAAGGGGCCCAGTATAACTGGCCGCATCCCCTGGGTCCCCTGGGGAGAGGCTCAGCCAGGCCTGGGCTCCCAGGAAAGCTGGGGGATGGAAAGCCAGGCAGGGGCCTAGGCCCGGGTTTTTGTGCTGAGTCTGGGCCTGCCCCTGCAAGAGGGACTGAGCAGGGCGCAGAGGTGCCGGGCGGGGACAGACCTGGCTCCCACTGACTGGCTCCACACCTGTGCTCCAGGCCGCTCTGGCCGAGAGCAGCTTTCCCCTCCTCAACAGCCCGGGCATGCTGAACCCCGGCTCGGCCAGCAGCCTCCTGCCCCTCAGCCACGAGGACATGGGGGCCCCTGGGGAACCCCTGCCCAGTAACGGCAGCAGCAGCCCCCCTCGGCTGTCCCCACCCCAGTACAGGTGAGCACAGGTGCACCCCAGCCCACCACACATCCCCCGAACAGCAGCCCCTGTCCTTGGTGCCCCCCTCTTCTCTTCCTGTTCCTCTTCTCTGTAATACTGGGGCTTGAAGCCTGAGCCTTGACTCTGAGCTGCATCCCCTTTTAAATTTATTTTGACAGGGTCTCCCTAGGTTGCCCAGGCTGGACTCTAACTTGCCACCCTCCTGCCTCAGCCTCCCAGAGTGCTGGGATTAGAGGCGCATGTACCACCATGCCGGGCTTCTACGCTTGTTCTTCCTCCTCCTCTGCTTCCTCTCCCTTCCCTCTCCATCCCTTTCTCCTCCTCCCTTCCCTCTGCACTCTGTTCCCAGATCCTCTCCTCTGCAGAAGGCCTCAGGGGAGGTCAGAGCTCAGGATAATGGGGTCCTGAGGAGGAGCCTCTGGGCTCCCCGCGGTGTGGAGTCTGGGGCAGGGGCTGCAGAGCCCCCTGATGCCCACATCATCCCTTCTGCCGCAGCCACCAGGTGCAGGTGAAGGAGGAGCCTGCGGAGGCGGAAGAAGATCGGCGGCCAGGAGCCCCCCTGGGCCCCCCCAACCCCGGCACTGTGGGGCCTCCAGAGGACAGGGAGCTGGAGGAGGAGCTGCCCGGGGAGGAGCTGTCCTAAGGGCCCTGGGAAGAGGGCGGGGTGAGACCCCCTGGCCCAAACCAGGCCTCCCCACCCCCCACTCCAGCCCTGTGAACCTCAAGGCACTTCCCGGACTCGAGTGGGGCGGCCTGGGCCGGCAGCTCCCCTACCACGGACTGACACACACTCGGGGGCAGGCACGGTCCCCGTCCCCGAGGGGACACGGAACCCCTGGTCTGGGACCAGCAGAGGACACGGAGGGCCCAGACCCCTCCCAGAGCCCCTTCATCCGAACGCCGACTCCCGACCACCAGCAGCAGGCCCCCCACCGCTCTCCCGCAGACAGGGCCCTCGTCTTTGGATGGAGACCCATGAGGGGGGCGCCCCCTCCCAGGGCCTATGCCCGGCCCCGATTTGTACATCCTGACCCGCCTTTTCTGTACTGTGAAGCAGGTACTCTCCGCCCTAGCCCCTTTCCCTGCCCTCCCCTGCCGGGCCCGGCCAGCGGCAGGGATGGAGGTAGGATGGAGGTAGGCCGGCCGGCTGCCACCACCTCCACTGTCACAAGTGGGACACAGCATTTTGTGCCCTGTGGGGGTCCCCGCAAGCAGGGCCCAGGCTGAACTGAGCGGGGGGCGGGGGCCTCCTGGGTCCCCAACAGAGCACGGGATGAGGCTGGTACCCGCCACCCACACAGCCCTCTGCGGGAGGGACCATGCCACCTGCCGGAAGAAGAGCGAGGCAAGGCTGGAAACCGGCCTCCTCACGACCCCCGGCCACTGAAGTCCTCCCACCCTCCCCGTTCCCGCGTCCCCAGTTTAACGGATGACCAAAGACCTTTCTTATGCCGGAAGCAAAAACCAAAACTTTTCGTTGGCTTTTTCCTTTGTCGCCTCCTGAACTCCCAGCTGCCCCAAACCCCAGGCTGGAAGCCCCCCTCCACTTAAGTTATTGTTTTAAACCAAAGTTTACAGTGTCTGTTGGTGGCAAGACCCTCTCCCTCTACCCCTTTTCTGCCCGAGGACCCTGGGACTGGCCTTGCCTGGGGACGAGGAGGTGGGCACACGGGAGCCACGGTCCCCAGGCCCGGCTGCCCTGGGGGCTCCCCAGCCCCTCTGTAGGACCAAGTCCCTGGCACGCTGGGAGTGTGGATTCCTGGATTCCGGCGGCAGAGCTGGAAAAGTGAGACTCTGAAGACCCCCTATGGGGGACCCCAACCCGAGGCCAAGGACGGGGTGCAAATGCTCAGAGCACCCTGCTAGGCCCCATTGCTGAGAAGACCCCTTGGATATCTCCTGAGAACCCCACGTATGCCCCTTCACAAGCTGCCCCTCAGAGGCGGGGCTCCCCATGTACCCCCACCTGTGTCCGTTTGACCAGCACAGAAATATTAAACGTCCTCTACTCACCGGCCCCGTGTGTGTCACCCAGGGAAGAGTGGCTGTGGGCAGGGGGTGGGTGGGACCCTGGCTCTGCGGGGCGTCCCAGGCACTCTGCTTCTCCCGCTCCTGCCTCCCCGTCGCCCTGTTCCTTCCCAAGTTTGAAACCCAGCGTTCCCACCAGGGAGGCAGGCAGCTGCAGGATTTGGTTACCCCTGTCTTGGGGGGACACTGGCAGTTGTGTGTGTGCCCAAGCACACGCCTGGGGTGGCATCCTAGCCCTCACGGCAGGCCATTTTGCGAACATTCGCACACCCCCAGAATATATATGTGGCGGCCGCCATGCTGGTGGCTTGGGGTTGTGTGAAGGGCTCTTCACACCCATGCAGGAGACCCCGACAGTTGGAGGGGGAAGAAGAGAAAGCTAAGCTATTAGGCAGGGCCTGGCCCCCCACATCAGATCCCTCAGATCGGGCTCCCCGCCCTGCTGTCCTGGCCACCAGGTCTCTTGTTCACCTTCCGGACAACCCTTCCCCAGGGCTGCAGCGCCCAGGCGGGGGTGAGGGAAACTCCGCCCCGGGACCACGCCCCCCGCCCAGGGGTCTCCCGGGCAGCCAGACCCCTCGGGAAGCCGGGTGGGGGTTGGGATGGACGCGGCGCTGTCCCGTCTTGTGTGCTCTCGTGCCTGGCCTGTGCTTGCCTTCCCTGCCACCACAACTACTCCTGTCTGGGCCCCCGGTACCCCCAGCCCTCTGCCCAGCCTGCTGCAGGCCTGCAGAGCCCCCACCGCCTCCTCAGGTGGGCGGGGAAGAAGATGTTCTGCCTGGAGTCTCAACACCCAGACACGGTGAGGAACCCGTGTTGTGATCCTGTGCCCCATGCAGACCCTGGCTGGGCGACAGCACCTCCAGTCATGCTGTACCCACTTCCGTCTCCCCTCCTCCCCTCCCATCCAGGACCCTAGAGGTGGCTGCCAGGTGCCAGGTCCTTGGCCTACCCCTGGCAGAAGAGGGTCTGTTCTTAAGCCGGCCCCAGGGGCGCCCTCGGCCGGCTCAAGACAGCAGCATGGTCCTTCCTGGTCCTTCCTGCAGTCCTGCTGCAGCGTCTCCCGTCTCCGTGGGCCACTCCGAATGCCAACTCAGTTTCCTGGAGGGCGAGGCAAAGATCTCCCTTGGGCAATGCCCGGGCAGAGGCCCTTGCAAAATAGAAGCAGAGGCTGCCGTGGACCGCCACTGCCTGTATGCCATGAGCTTTTATTTATTTTGGTTTTTTTGAGACAGGGTCCAGCTATGTAGTTCAGGATGGCCTTGAACTTGCGATTCTCCTGCCTCGGCCTCCCAAGTGCCGGAATTACAGGCGTGAGCCACCATGCCCAGCTGTACAATGAGCTTTTAGGTTCACTGCCTCCACCCAGTGCGTCATTATTTAGTGTTTCTTCCCTGTTGGGGGGGGCTATCTTTGGAATCTGTTCTCAGACTGGCAGAAAGAGAAATGCATTGCGCTGTGGTGGCTCTGGGCCCTGCCTGCAGGGGCAGAAGCACCCTCTCTTCCCGCTGCCTGCCACCCTGGCGTGAGGCCTTTCGTCGATGGCCGGCAGAGGGCGCCTTAGACCAGGCGGACCCAGGCCCAGCCCTAGCCAGAGCAGCAGGATCACATGCTGTTCGGGCTGCCCAGGCCCTTCCGACTTGGGATCTGTGAGATGGGTTTTTTCTTTTTCTTTTGTTGAACTCAGGGCGCTCTACCACTGAGCCCCAGCCCTTTTTATTTTTTGAGACAACTTCTCACTAAGCTGCTCAGACTTCTGGAACTTTTTCGTCCTCCTGTCTCAGCTACGAAAGATCTTAAGCAGAAACAGGAGAAGGTGAGAGAGAAGCAGGAAGGAGAGCTGGAGCCCGGTGCGCCAGGAGCCATGAGGGGCTCAACTTTGGTCTCCCTGCCTCCCTCCCTCGGTCCGCAGTTATTAAATCAGGGCGTCCACACTGAGCTACATCCGGGACCTTTTTCTATTTTTTTTTACAGAGTCTTGCTAAATCACGGGTTCAGACTCTTGATCCTCCTGCATCAGCCTCCCAGAGTGCTGGGATGACGGGCCTGTACCATAGCTCCTGGCTTCGCCTATTTTAAATAGTAATGATAACTAATAGCATTTAAGGAGCTCTTATTATGTATGCCCCGTTCTCCCGGAAACTACATCCCACTCACTCCTCACACAAGTCCGGTTTGGCCTCTGTCAACACCCCATGTCACAGGTGAGGAAACGGAGGTTGGCGGCAGAGAACAGAGGCAGGTGCTCTGTAACCCCTGCTTCCTGGTGACACTGCTCACTCTGGCATTTTCCCCTCTCCTGCTGCTCCTTCGGCAGCTCCTGAAAGGAAACTGAGGTACAGAGGGCCTCCAAGTTGGGATTACTTATTTATGTATTTATTTATTTATGTCTTTTTTGAGACAGGGTCTCACTAAGCAGTTCAGGCTGGACTTGAGCTCACTTTGTAGCCCAGACAGGCCTCAAACTCCCAATGATCCTCCTGCCTCAGCCTCCTGAGTGCTGGGATTACAGGCGTGTGCCACCTCTTCTGGCTTATGTATTTATTTTGGTACCAGGAATCAAACTCAGGCCCTCACGCTTGCCAGACAGGCACCGAGCTGCTGAGCTACATCCCCGGCCCCAAGCTGAGATTTAGGAACTGGCCTCAGCCTTGTCTTCTGGGTAGGATGAAGTGGTCTGGGGCTCAGGACAGCCGCAACAGGACAGTGAACCCCAGAAAAGCCTGGAACACCCATCCGGCTGTGGTGGCACAGGCCTGCAATCCTGTAATGCCAGCACTAGGGAGGCTGAGGCAGGAGGATTGCTGCAAATTCAAGGCATCCGGGGTACACAGCTAGACCTTGTCACAAAAAGAGAAAGGTTTGGAAAAGCCTACGGAAATAATCATGTGGAGCGGCTGAGGGCCTGGGACTTTGGGTGGCGGTAGAGACAAAGAGGCCCTTGTCTGTGGGGATCACGGGACCCCTACATTCCCACAGCCCGCTACCCCTTCGCACCAGGACGCCCCTTCAGCTTTATTGCCCATGGCCACCCTCACTGGGGTCACAGTGACGCACAGGCCCGGGTGCCCCGCACCCGCACATGGTCTGCGTCATCTTGGGATCAAAAGTTTAGACAAACAGCTGTTCCCGACACAGTGGCCTGGTGGCAGCAGGGTGGAAAGGCCACCTATCACAGCCGGGAGTGGCCAGCCAGGCGGGGGACCTGGAATTCGGGCTGCAGAGCATCAGAAGCGGCAGGGTGGGGTCACCGCGGGTACAGGACAGGGCTGTGGGGTGGAGGGACAGAGAGAGGAGTGAGTCTGTGCATCACCACAGGGGGGCGCAAGTCCCACAGACAGGCCCAAGTGACCAGGAGACTCCAAAGAAAAGCCTTGGAGTAAGCCAAAAAAAAAAAAAAGGCTGGGAATTTAAGTCAAGGTGGAGACCCTGGGTTTGAACCCTGGTACCACAAAGAACCAGCTGAACAGATACAGGCAAGCCGGCTGCCAGGCCGGGGCAGTGATCACAGCCACTACAACCTGCTCTCCATCCTTGTCTGCAAGCCACATCTACAGTCTGGGGCGGGAGTAGCAGTGAGGATTTCTGACTGCCCAGGAGGCCAGGGGAGAGACAGGAAGTTGGCCCACAGGATCACACCCAGGAGGGGAGGCTGAGGCAGGAGGATCTGTTAATGACTGACGGGCCTGGCCCAGGTCACCAAGGAGCTGGCATCCAGGGGGGCTGGCGGGGGCTTCCCTGGGGGCGGCTGGGACAAGGACGCACACTGTTAGATGGGGCCTGCAGGGGTGGTGAGACCTGGACACTGCAGGAGCACATCTGGGCCCACAGCTGGTTATGAGGCACAGGTGTGGCCGTGATAAGAGACGGAGGTAGAGAACCAGGAGACTGTGTGGTCCCCAGGCCAGGCAGGGACAGAGCATGGAATGCTGGGAACTCTCGGGGCCTGGGCCTGTGCGGCTGGGGGATTCGGGCCCCCAGGACAGAACAATGTCCAGAGATCTAGGCAGAGGAGGGTGGGTGTCACTCCTTGTCCTGTGAGCTTAGCGGCAAAGGGCAGAGCAGGAGGAGGAATGTCCCGAACAGGGTGGGTTATGAGGTTCTCAGGAGCGGCCCTCCCTCCCCTCCGTCCCCCTCACGACTCCCCAGCCTTGACCCAGAGGGAGGGCAGGCCCCTCGAGGAGGCCGGGGAGCCACAAGGACTGTGCTGGCAGGGAATTAGGAGAGCTGAGAATGACCTGGAGTGGGGGAGGCTGGACCTGCTCCTCCACGTGCACAGCAGGAGAGAGGCGGCCGTCAGCCCCCCCGCCACCCCGCGTTCACCTGGGGGTCCCACCTGCACCCTCGGCACCCCACCACCTGCCACTGCCTGCTTTCACGCATGCTAGACAAGCGCTCTGCGACTGGGCTGCAGCCACAGACCTTTAAAATACAGTGTTTTAAGGCCAGGTGTGGTGCGTGCCTGTAATCGCGGCACTCAGGAGGCTGAGGCAGGAGGATGGCTGTGAGTTCAAGGCCAGCCTCTGGCTACATAGTAAGTTCAAGGCCAGCCTGCATTACATAGTGAGACCCTGTCTCAGAAAACTAAGAAACACACACAGAAAACTTCTTTGAGGTCATACGTTCGCTTCATTCCCCTTTTTTTTTTTCTTTCCTGCTTCTTCAGTCTCTTTTTCCCTCAGACTAAAAACTTCTGTCGCCTGCCTTCTAAACACAAACAAGCAGAAACACTCCCTCTCCCTTCCCGGCGCTCCTTCCCTCTGCCCATTTCCTCTCCTGCCAAAGGCCTCAAAGAGCCTCTGTGCCTGGCACCCTCCACCCTCCTCCGCCTCCGCGGCCTGCGCCTGCCGCCCACTGTGCCCAGCCACCCTCTCGGACCCGCGGGGACGCACCCTGCTCCACATGGCCTCCTTGGAGAGGGACGCCAGGACCTTCACACTGAGCTGCCCCCTCAGCCCTTTTACTCTTTGTCTTGAGGGTCTCATTTAG